CACCGGCCCGTCCGATCGGGAGCAGCCTCCGCGTCCCGCACCGCTTCCCAGAGCTGACGGGGCGGAACGCGGCGCTGGGAGGCCCTGCTGCCGGTCTGCGCAGAAAGCGGCATGAAAGTGCAGTAACGTGTTCTTAACATTGCACTTCCGTGCGGCTTCCAGCAGTGCGAGCCCGAGCCATCTGGGAGACAACGGACGCGCCTCTGCGATTAACGTGAAAGAGCCGAGACCAGACCCGAGAGCGGAGCCCCGGGCCGGCTGCCCCCCCCGCTGCCCCCCCCGGGCCGGCTCCGGGTCACGGGACGGGGCTTTGAGCGGCCTCAGCAGGCGGGAGGTGTCCCTGCCCACGCAGGTGATGGCTACAGAATGTTCTTTATTAGATGTAATCAAAATAGATTAAGATAGAATTAAGCTTAATAGATACTTACTGGAATTATAAATTTATATAATAATTTTCTGACTTTGCTGAATGCTAGGTTGCTGGCTATTTTATTGTATATTTAGCAGAAAGATACTGAAATGAAATTAGCTTTGTGAAACAACGTGCTTTGTGAAATCCACATTCTTGGGTAAATGATTGGCTACGAAACAATCAGTCAGCAACACAGGTACATCCTGTGGATCTAGATGATGTTTAAGGTCCCTTCCAACCCAAACCATTCTATAGTTCTATGACTGGTCTTGAACTATGTTGTATTTACACCACTAGTTACCATGCTTGATGAAAGAAAATAAAAAAGCTGGGACTGGAGTCCAGAATCTGCAAACCCATGTCCAATACCAGCCTTAGCCAAGAAGTTTTACAAATGTTCTCAGAAACAATCCAACTGTTCCCAGTAATGGTGAGCCCTTGCTCCATTATGTTCCCTTTGCTTTAGGATAGAAATTCAGAAAGTCAAGAATACTTGCAGAATGTAGCTTATCTTAGTGCCACGATACACGTTCAACTTGCTGGACGTTCTGTATGAACTCGCTGTTTACCTCCCAAGTCTCTTCATACAGTGTCATTCCAAACTCCTGCATCGCCATGCAGGTGCTCATCATCCTTTGACTCGGTAAGAACACTTGTCACTGCAGTCGCCAATTTGTGACTTACATGTTCAACACTAGTATTTTCAGCTGTAATATTTAGTTTAAGACACCAGTTATTTCTGCTTTTCAACACCAAAACATCTTTGTCATGTAATTCACTAAATAGTTCTGAAATAAGCCATCTAGAGTAAGCTGTGAATTCTGCTTTTGATTTTACAGTTCTAATCTGCAATAATTACATGAACTAGAAAAGGCAAAAATACTGTGCAAGTTACATAGTAGATAAACACACAGATAAAATGTTTTAGAAAATTTCTAATACAAGTTTTCCCTAGAAAAGAAATTCAACACTTTACAAAGAAACAGAGCAGAAAGTTTCTCAAAACAAACAAAAAATTAAGTACGTCACTAATTTTAAGCTTCATTAGCTCAAAGGTTCATTGGTCTCTCAAGGTGCCAATTCTGAACATAAAAGGTGTCAATGTGTGTTCAGGAAAGTTACATCCTCCTTAGACAAATAGTTCATGTAATAATGGGCACAATGGACTGGAGGGAATTGTGGGGTGAGGGTGACAGACAAAACCAAACAGAACAAAACCAAACCAAAGTAAAAATCCCCAACATGAACAACAAAACCAAAAAACAACTTGTCTGGAATTAATCCAGATAAGCCCTGCTTCTTCAGAGCAGCACCAAACAGTCTTTCCTTCTAAAAACTACATGTGATATGGTACAGAACTAACAGAAATCAAAGACAGGGAAAAAAAGAAGTGACAAATGATAAAAACAACTCAAACAGATGAAGACAACACTTCTAGTGACCACAAGGCCCTGTGGTTGACTATGCAAAAGTGGAGTTATTTAAAAGATGCTTATGAGCTACAAATGCTATAACACTGATTTTCATTGGTACTGGAGGCAAACTTCGGTTACAACAGCAGCTGCCAAAATTTTTCTGTAAAGCTAAAAGTTCAAGTCATCAACATATTTTTGAGGGGCAAAATAAGCCCTCTTGTGCAGGAATCAAGGCCTTATTAAGTACTTATTAAAAGCTTCGTCTACTGAGTTTTACATCCATATATAACAGATAATTCATTTCTTGCTGTAACTGAAGCCAATGATTTGGTATTCACATTCTGAATAGAAATAATGAAAAAGAAGGATACCAAAAAACTCACCAGAATTTCCTTGGTATGCAATACCATGCTGACTTAATAAATCTTTAAGTTTTTTTACTTCTTCAGAAAGTTGCTTGTATTCCTAAGAAAGAAAACACATTTAAACTGGCTTTCCCACTCTCCAAAAGCATACATAAAACAGGAGCTTATAAAAAACAATGGGTTTGTGCATGGCAGAGATAGTTTTTTGGTTATGGGATCTTAAACTGCTTATTCCAAGAACAAGGTGTAAGTTTTACAGAAGCAGATGTTTCTAGGTTGCCAAAACAGAAGCCAGCTTTTTCCAAGCCTGAGTGTTGAAATTAGGAGTGCCTTCTGTAACTATTTGGGTCTACCCTCTAACTAGCATTTTATCATAGCACAAAACTGCATTAACAACTTGGCTACAGGAGCAGCTTTATTTCATTTTATATCATAATGCTACAGTCTGAAAATTTGTCACCTCCTCAACTCTTGACTTAGTAACTTCAGGTTCTCACTTGCAGTAGTTTATGTTAACTTAGAGCCAGTACTTTTGATACACAAGCCATGAATCTCAGATCCCAAAGAAGCCCCTTTTTTTTTTAATTGTGGTTTGGTTTCTACAGGAATCAAGAACAAAATCCTATTTAAGATCCTGCAGTTGCCAAAACAGCCAGTTCATGTCAATTAAGCCCTAATGAAGTACAAGGTATAAAACACTGTACTGTTATCTACTGAAAAAACAAAAAAGGTGAATATTCCAGCTCCAAACAGTACCACATCAAAATTGTGATCTTTATATAAGTATATTCAGCTTAACCACAGGTGATTTGGTTATATTCAGGAATTACTATGTGGTGTTTTGTCTGTGCTACTTTTTCAAATAAAATGGCAACAGCAGCTTCTCCTCTGCATTATCATGAATTAATTCCCTTCCATGCTCTCTTTGATGTTCAGCTTGGTCTCTTTTAGTCTGAACACACCTTCTACCTCTATTTTCCCCATTTCAATTCTGTTGCAGAAGGGACTGTTCCCACACATTAAAGTCCTGCAGAAATGGACACAGTATAGATTATTCTGCATTTTGCTTGTGTAACAGCCAACACATTATGACACAACTCTGGGTAATTATCCATGGGGAGAAGTGTCAACATTCCCACAGCTGGTTACACATTTATTTTCACCAGTAATTCCTTCCTATTTCCAGACTGGTATTCCCCAGAAAGAGCACTCATCAGATATTCATAACCCAAGCCCCTACACTAATTCCTACATACCCTCCTGTCTTCTTATTGGGCATTCAGTTGTGCTAGATTGGTTTTGACTTTAAAGCTAGGATAAAGATGGCAAATCATTCTGTACGCAGACTGTTACACATTGAACCAGAAAAGATAATCCCATGGACAGATTTCAGATGAGTCCAAAGAGTATTTGCATAATGCTATCACACTTATGCTGTCATACAGGAAAAAGGTGGCAATTTAATCCCACATTTTAAATATTACACTCTGTACCTTACTGCACTTCTCCACTGTTTCAAATTCCAGACCTGTTTTCTTGTTCTGCTTCTCAACTTCCATTTCTTCTGTTGCTTTTAGAAGCCCTGCTTCCTCAAAAATCTCTTTCAGGATTTTCTTGTATCCCTGAAAAATGTTTACAAAAGACAACAGATCAATCTACCCAACTCTGGAGAATAAACTGATCCATTCCAAAAAGAGAAACTGCAGACACAGGTTTCGCTATTTGATAGTAATTGTTCTTCAGCAAGTAGAGTTGAAAGACATTACTAAACCTGGTCGGTTATTAGTTCATCATACAGAAGCTGCTCTGCTTCATCCCACTTCCTTTGCAGTGCTTCAGTCAGAGTTGGATAAACTGAAAAATCAAACCATGGAAGTCAAACCACGTGAAAAACAGCAGCACTGTTCTGCAATAAATGCTCCTCCAGTGGCATGCAAATATCTAGTATCTTCCGCCTTTAAGAGTTGGGGTTAAACTTAAATTCCACTCCATGCATCTAGAATTTCTGGAGAATGCCACCAACCAACATTTTTTCTCTTATTTCCAGCTAGAAGTTGTTATATGTCTTTGCTGACTGTAATTCTGCTTGCTTCCCTTTTGTAATGCAAGTAAATGTGCAGATACAACAGCACTGATTCCTATGACCAGTTCAAGGAAAAAGCAGAATATCACTCACATGGTCTGCACGTGCAATCACAATTTATTTGGGAAATACGTATGTGCTATAATGATTGGGATTTAAAATATACTTTGTATTATATGTTACATTTAGTACTCATTTATATCAAGTTAAAAACTAGAAAAACCTAAACATGTGCACTCTGAGGTTGGCATAATATGCCAGCTACTCCATACACAAATTATTTTCTAAATCTTACCTAGAAGAGCGTGGGGATGACACACAAGAGGAGTCTCAAATGTCAGAGAGTAAACACAAGTAGTTGGCTCAGACACATAAGCCAATTTGTTGCTCTTTCCACAAACAAGACGAACCTAAACATCAGTGAAAGCCAAGATGAGCAAAACACCTCCACATTAAACAGGACGAGCACTGATGATCAACTTGCTGTCTTCAAATGCTATCAGATGTACATACTGTACATACTGTCATGTCAAATCTTCAAGTGCAAGAACATCTTCAAATCATTTTATCAAATGTGAAAATTGCTTCCTCTAATGAAAAATTATCCCCTCGGCTACCATTCATTATTCCTTGGACTCCCAAGCACTGCATTTGCACAGAAGAGTGAGTAAAAAGAAGAATGAATAGGACACCCTTTAGAACCTCATCTGACACAAGCATAATTAACAAACTTTATTTCTGATCAATGTACTAAATAAAGAGAACAATAAACATCTATGTTGTAGAAACCTGTTTTCATCTCTAAACTTGCAGCACCAGCATTTTCTATCTGTTCAAA